GTTGGCTATAATGTAAGGAGAGTGATAACTGCATGGAAATTTGAAAGTGAGGTTGTCATTTTCTTTCCCCTAAAGGTTTGAAAGAATTTGGCTTGGTTTAAATGGCTGCAGGAAAGAGTAAGTGAAAAAAAAGTTCAGGGTCAGGAGAGAGGGAAGATACAACTATAAAGCAGAACTCACAGATACAGAGAACAAGCTTGTGGTCACCAGTGCTGGAGGTGGGGGGAGCTGAGGGGAAGAATTGGAAGGTATAAAGTATGGAGTGTAAGACAGGCTTGAGGGTAGATTATACAACATGGGCAGTATAGCCAATATTTTGTAATAACTGTAAATGGAAAGTAACCTTTCAAAATTGTTTAAAAATAAAAAATAGCCATTAAAAAACAGTCCTTGATTAGTGTCAGGGGAATTAATTCAGAACATATGTGAATGCATTGGCTCTGTTAGAGGAAGGAAGGGCTCATATAAGAAAAGTGTGGTTGAGGGAGTTATTGGAAGGCTTGCATTTTTCTCTGTGAACCATCAGATGAAATTATCTGGTGAGCATGAGGATGATAATCAGAATGGAGAGATGAAGAGTGGAGAACGCTTAAAGTAGTAACTTGGATTAGGGGAGACAGGCTGCTCCAGGAGGTACAATGGGGTTGCTGGTCAGTCCCAAAAATTCATTCTGAGATTGTTGTTTGGTCGCTAAGTCATGTCCAACTCTGCAACCCCATGGACATGCCAGGCTTACCTGTCCTTTAGTATCTCCTGGAATTTGCTCAAACTCATGTCCATTGAGTCAGTGATGCTGTCCAGCCATCTCATCCTCTTCCACTCACTTGTCCTCCTGCCCTCAATCTCTCCAGGCATCAGGGTCTTTTCCATTGAGTTGGCTCTTCACATCAAATGGCATTCTGAGATAGTGACCATTAGTAATAATGGAGAGCAGGTTGATATTTAGATGTATTTAGTTACATTCAATGGAAGTCCCACAGCCCACAGGTTTAAGGCAATATGTGAAAGGGAATTTTTGACTATATCAAATAGAAAGATTAAGGTGAATGATCCATAGACTCTCAACTGAATAATTAAGATAGAAAAGATAAAAAGGATACTAAACAGAAAGGAAAGGACTATATACTGGAGAATAGTAGTAGTAGGTGTTTCAATAGAATAGAGACCCCCAAACCATCAAAGAAGGAGAAGAGTAAAGGAAACAATTGAGTAAAGTGGAGAAATCTGATGTTGTAATGAAAGAGTGAGAAGTTCTCTGTATGTGACTTGAGAGGTGGCATACTTTATGGTGGTTTCAAGATCTGGGGTCTCACACTAAGAGTGAGGGGCTAGAAGTCAGGCTGGCTGTGTGAGTTGATGACTAAGAACATAGTCTGTGATGTTAGGGAAACTTGAAGTTGCATCCCAGTTACTAACCTTAGGCATATGTGTTACTTTCTCTAACCTTCTAGCTCTTCATCTGAAAAATGGTGCTGCTAATAGTATTTTTTCAGGGACCTTGTAAGAATTAAATGAACAGCAATTTATGCAGTGGGCTTCCCTGGTGGCTAAAGTGGTAAAGAATCTGCCTGCCAGTGCAGGAGACACAGGTTCCATCCCAGGGTCAGGAAGATTGCCTGGATGCCTGGCAACACCCTCCAGTATTCTTACCTGGGAAATCCCATGGACAGAGAAGTCTGGTGGGCTACAGTCCATGGGGTCAAAGAAGAATTGGACATGACTTAGTGACTAAACAAGAACAGATTTATGCAACAGGCTTAACACATTGCCTGACACCACACAGTAAGTGCTTCATTAGAGTCAGTTATAAATGGATCCTATAGACCACCCAAGACAAGACAATGCAAGTTGTTGAATTAGAGGATAAATCCTAGGTGTTATTAATATAAATCTTCAGTGTATGGAAGGGAGGTGATGTTCAAGAAGTTGGTAGGACAAAGCTCCAAGAAGTGAGTTAAATGGCATGAGTTTCAGGGTTCCTGGGAGGATACACACTCTTCTCCGCCTTTGATGTTGAGACCCCTGGATGGGAGAGCATGACCACCCTGAGCCTGTGAGGTCTGCAGAGGAGGGAGTCCTTGGGGGAAGTGTAGCTTTCTATTAACTCAGGAATGGGGCATCCCTGATGGGTCAGTGGTAAAGAATCCACCTGCCAATGTAGGAGACACATGTTCGATCCCTAATCCAGGAAGATCCCACGTGCCACAGAGCAACTAAGCCTGTGCACCACAACTATTGAGCCTGTGCTGTGGAGCCCACATGCCATGACTACTGAATTCCGTGCCATGGCCCTAGAGTCCAAGATCCCATGCTCCACAACAAGAGAAGCCACTGCAATGAGAAGCCCACACACTGCAGCTAGAGAGTAGCCCCCTCGCTGCAACTAGAGAGAAAAGCCCACGCAGCAATGAAGACCTAGCACAGCCAAAAAAAAAAAAAAAAAGACTACTATACTTATTTTTAAAAAAACACAGGGATGTAGAGAGAATATTTGGTGAAGATGTAGGATTTCGTTATTATAGAAGAAGAATTCCCAGAGACACAGTTGAAAGGTTTGGGAAGGAATTTTGGGCAGTGGGGAGCTCGAGACAAGTAGATGAAATATAGAATAAGAAGGGATAGAAGTCCAAAAAAGCCAGTATCCTTGCTTAAGGGACTTTTTTCTAATGGGTATGTGATATGCCTTGTGAGATTCAGGTGAGCAGAGAGGACTTAAATCAGAATTTGAACCAGGATTATTTTGCTGTATTACAAAGTCTATTGATACACTGTTGATTCACTTATTGAAATAAGTTACCAAATATGTAATTAGCCTATACTATACACCAATACTGTACTAAACACTGGAGTTAAATAAATACCTTGTCCCTGCCATCTTGGATTACAGCCTAGTGACCAAGATGACCACTATGCAAATGATAAGAAAGGGTGGTGGGTCTTATGATAGAAATTCCTGGAACTTTGAGAATATAAAACTTGAGGTGGAGGGGGTGGTGGTAATCTAGTCTAGTATTATTTATTTGACATTTGAAGAAGTTTTATATTAAAGGGATCTGCATTAAACACTGAAGGGGCGTGTTAATGAAAAGGAAGCATGGGGCTTCCTTGGTAGCTCAGTGGTAAAGAATCCGCCTGCCAATGCAGGAGACACAGGTTCGCTTTCTCTGGGAAATCCCAGATGTGGGCCTGTGAGCCACAGCTATTGAGCCTATGCTCTAGAGCCTGTGCCCTGCAACATGACAAGCCACTGCAATGAGAAGCCCAAGCATCACAACTAGGGAGTAGCCCCCACTCAGCACAACTAGAGAAAAGCCCACACAGCAACAAAGACCTAGTGCAACCAAAAAATAAGTAAATAACTAAAAAAAAAAAAATTTAAAAGGGCAGCATGGATTGGAGGTTGAAAAACAGTACCTGTAGATCCATGTTGAACACAGGGAGCAGTTTTCTGAATCTCATTTTGGGCTTATGAAAATCTTTGAGATTTTTAGTGAAAATTATGAGCTACAGCTTAGAAAAATGCAAGTACAGCAGCATTTTTGCATGGAGTTTCATGGGCTTCAGGGACCTTGTATCCAATTCATGAACCACAGCTTAAGAACACTCCATCTATTTTAAAATGTCTTGGCAAGTGACATTCGACTTCAGTGGCTTTTGCTGCCTTTTGATAAGGAGAGATCACATCCAGCACTTTTTTGGAACAAAATTGCTGCCCAATAGTCTTTTTGTTTTTAAACTCAGTTAAAAATTTTATTGGAGTGTAGCTTGATTTACCACCTACTAGTCCAAAAAGGTGAAGAAGGAAATGGCAACCCACTCCAGTATCCTTGCCTAGAAAATTCCATGGACAAAGGAGCCTGGTGGGCTATAGTCCATGGAGTCGCAAAGAGTCGGACACGACTGAGTGACTAACACACACACACACACACACAGTCCTAAAAGGAGGGTTCTTTCCTGCTTACAGGAGGCAGCTCAAGAGAACCCCTTTACATGACAATAATGACAGGCTCTGTTGTGAGCTCATAGTGTGGGCAAAATAGAACTGTTTTCTGAAGACTAAGAGTTTAGGATAAAGGTCTCTCATTGACTGCCATTTAATTTTTCAGTGTTCTCAAACCTAAGCATCCTGATAATTACCAGCCTTTGTTTTTTGTTCAGTAAGCTCTGCTAATGGCTTTTTATGTATCATTATAATTTAATTCACTCAACAACATAATGCGTTAGTTACAGTTAAGCCTAATACATAGAAATGGAATAACCTCACCATTAAAAGACACCATTAAATGTATCTAATTTTTTATATTTTTAAAAAAAGATACATTAAAAAAAAATTCAGACATATGCTCTTAATAGAGGAAAAAACCCAAGTCTCTTTTCCAAATCCAGTGCTCTTAGCTTTTACATCCTGCCTTTCATTAAGGCCTACATTTCATTCTCTGCATCAACAAACCTGTGTGCCAAATCTGGCCCATCACCTGTTTTTGTAAGTAAAGTTTTATTGTAATATAGCCACAACCATTTGTTCGTATATTTTCTGTGGCTGCTGTCTTGCTATAGCAGCAGAGCTGACTAATTGTAATAGAAGCTGTATGGCTTGCTAAGCCTAAAATACATGCTCTCTGACCTTTGACAGAAAAAATTTTGCTGAACCTGTTCTGTTAGTTTCTTGAGAATTTGGAGGGAATTCCTAAGTTGGAATTCTGTATTCACCAACACAAAAATCAGAATTAGCATTTTCTTTAAGGTCCACAAGAAAGAAAACAGTTTGTCAGTTCTTTCTGATGTTCCTCTTTGGCATTATATACAAACAGGTCCAGCATCCAAAACCCAAAGGGGCTTACCTAGAAGGTACTTGTACCCCTAGAATCTTTTGAATGTTGACTGTCTCAGGACTGTTTCCAGGCCATCAGGTTTTTCTTCTTCCATCTGTCAAACTTTTCCTCTCTGAACACTGGAAGGAAATGATACCCAGCTGAGTAGGAATGTGTGTCCTGTTTTAGGAGGGAGTGAACTTCAAAATAGTGACTGTGGACTTCACTCAGGAAGAAGAAGGCACTTTGAGCTCTGCTCAGAGGACCCTGGACAGAGATGTGATCCTGGAAAACCACAGGGACTCTTGGGGTAAGAGTACAGTCCCCGTTAATGGTATCTGTATATTGAAATAATTTCTCATTTCCACCGATCAGGCTCTAGGGAGTTCAGAGGCCAGAATGATTTTGGCCACACAAAGATTAGTATGGTGAAGATATAGGTTTAGTTTGTAGGGTAGCAAAGGTACAACTTCATGAGTTTGAGCTTATTCAGTTTTCTAGGTTCCTAAGAGCCAAAGACAGGGGCCAGACTCTGCAGTGACTTGCTTTTGTCCCCAGTCCAAATACCCAAAGTTCTATGTCTTTCCTCTCAGCTTTCCAAACTAGATGTAATCTCCTAGTTTGAACAAGAGGATGAGTATAAAAAGAATTTTCCCACATGCATATCCAGGTAAGAAATAGACATTTAGAAGTCATTACAGGTATAGACTTCCCTGGTGGCTGGGTGGTAAAGAATCAGCCTGCCAATGCAGGAGATGCAGGTTCAATCCCTGGGTCAGGAAGATCCCCTGGAGAAGGAAATGGCAATCCACTCCAGTATTATTGCCTGGGGAATCCCATGGACAGAGGAGCCTCGTGGGTTATAGTCCACTGGGGTTGCAAAGAGTCAGACACTACAGAACGACTAACATTTTCACTTTCTTTCACAGGTATAGAAGATTTGTTTGAAAAATCCCCATAAGGCATGCCACATATTTCTCTTTTCTCCCACTCCAAGAGGACTGTATACATCACCACTTTTTTCCAAATGTACCTTCTATTCCTTGGCCTAATAGCCACTCAGGCTTCTGTGTATGAGCTAATCTCCATCCTCTCTCACTTGGGAGCAAAGGAATCCATGGGGCCATATTAGCCTCTAAGGAATTTAGGGAACCTGGGATAACAGTTCCCTCATTATTTTTTTCTGGTTCAGAAAGTAGTTTGACTTTGTCTAACTAACACAGACTGTACTAACAAGTTTCATGCCTTCAGAAATACCTAGAAATGTAGACACTAATTTCTATTTCAGTGAACATGTGTCTAGCACTAAAGAGGGTAGAAAGAATCCTCTGTTTTTTTTACTAAGAATTGCAGAATTGTTTTGCAATCCTGTAAGTTCTGCATAGATGATCCTATTTTGGAATATGGAGATATTTGACATCTAAAGTCTTTATTCAGCAACACTAAGATTGAAATAGTTTCATATTAATTCCTTGTTATGCTATCTGACTGTGGTAGTTCTCTGCTTACTGCTCATCTCATCCTTTTGCTTTCTCAATTCATGTTATAGGGCCATAGCTGAAAATAAATCCCCATATAATTTACATACTTTCTTGTCAGCTTTTCCCAGCTCTAACAATTTTTGGCTAGGGTGTTTTATTTTGCTTTCTTCCAGACTCGGCAACTGCACTTGGAAGAAGAGAATCGAGATTGAAGCAGAGCATTTTTGACGACAAACTATCCCCTAGCGTGAAGATAGAAAAGTTGACAAGAGATGATCCTTGGTTATCTTCATGTGAAGAATTTCAGGATTGTAAGGAGCTGTTGGAGAAGCAGCAGGAGAAACGAGAGAGACTTTTGAAGGAAGTGACATTTACTCACAGGAAAACCATTACTCATGAGAGACACTGCAAAAATGATAGCCCTGAGGAGAAGGCTGGTCTGAATTCCAGTCTTCTTTCATCACAGATGATACCCATAAGAAACCATTTTCATAAACATGCTTCACATGTTAAAAGATTACATTATAATTCTATGGTAAACACTCATCAGATGATTACTAATAGTGAGAAACTCTGTGAACATAATGAATTTGGAAACCTCCCCCAGAGTATTCATTTTTTTCAGTTTACAAGAACTCAAACAGAAGAGAAATCCTATGGATTTAGTGGCAGTATTCAACCTTTTAACCATGGTACACCCTTAAACATACACGAGAAAATACATGCACAAGGAAGATCCTTTGATTTTAAGGAATGTGGGCAAGTTTTGAACCACAGCATATCCCATAACGAACAACAGAGAAACTCCATTGGAGAGAGTCAGTATAAATGTCGTAAGACCTCCCAAAGTTCATCCCTTGCTCAAAACGTGAGAAATCATTCTGAAGAGAAGCCCTTTGAATGTAATCAGTGTGGGAAATCCTTCAATTGGAGCTCTCATCTTGTCGCACATCAGAGAACTCACACAGGGGAGAAACCTTATGAATGTAACGAATGTGGGAAATCATTCAGCCGCAGCTCTCACCTTGTTTCCCATCAAAGAACTCATACTGGAGAGAAACCATATAGATGTAATCAGTGTGGTAAATCCTTTAGCCAGAGCTATGTCCTTGTTGTGCATCAGAGAACTCACACTGGAGAGAAGCCTTATGAGTGCAATCAGTGTGGAAAGTCATTCAGACAGAGCTACAAACTTATTGCACATCAAAGAACTCATACTGGAGAGAAGCCCTATGAATGTAATCAATGTGGGAAATCATTTATCCAGAGCTATAAGCTTATTGCCCATCAAAGAATTCATACTGGAGAAAAGCCCTATGAATGCAATCAATGTGGAAAGTCTTTTAGTCAGAGTTACAAACTGGTTGCCCACCAGAGAACTCACACAGGAGAAAAACCCTTTGAATGTAATCAGTGTGGAAAATCCTTCAGCTGGAGCTCTCAACTTGTTGCACACCAAAGAACTCACACTGGAGAGAAACCCTACGAATGTAATGAGTGTGGGAAATCTTTCAACCGCAGTTCTCACCTTGTTATGCATCAGAGAACTCATACTGGAGAGAAACCCTATGAATGTAGTCAGTGTGGGAAGTCTTTCAGCCAGAGTTATGTCCTTGTTGTACATCAGAGAACTCACACTGGAGAAAAGCCCTATGAGTGCAGTCAGTGTGGAAAATCTTTCAGGCAGAGTTCATGCCTTACTCAACATCAGAGAACTCACACTGGAGAGAAACCCTATGAATGTAATCAGTGTGGAAAAACATTCAGCTTGAGTGCTCTACTTATTGTACATCAAAGAACTCATACTGGAGAGAAACCCTTTACATGTAATCAGTGTGGGAAAGCTTTCATTAATAGTTCTAAACTTATTAGACATCAGGCAACTCATACAGAAGAGAAACCCTATGCGTGTAACTAGCTTGGAAATCTTTCAGCAGAGTATATCCCTTCCTCTTTGCCTCCCTCTCTCCCTCACTCTTTCCCTTTCTCCCTTTAGCCCCTCATTCCCTTGTTCCCTCCTTCCATTCCTCCAGGATTACATGTATTGGAAAGAACAAGCATGAAAATAGTGTGTGTGGAAAAAGAGCTTTCCGTTAGCTCTCTGTTCAGCTGTGTATCTGAAAACTCTGTCTGGAGAAGAAAGAGAGAAAAAGTATGAATCATGTATTTTACTTAGCTATTCCATGTTTTTAAAAAATCAAACTTGACCCTTGTTAAACATTCCCATGAGAGTGATAACTCTTGGCACTTTTCCTTGCAGAAAGCACTTCGACCTGAATTTGAGAGAATTATCATTAAATGGGCAATATGCTGTGGAGTGATTGCCAGTGAGGTAGACCTCTTTTCCAATAAAGAATAAATGAGAGGGTACATATATATACCTACGACTGATTCATGTTGATATATGGCAGAAACTAACACAATATTGTAAAGCAATTATCCTACAATTAAAAAAAAATATGGTAAATCTAAATAAAGCTGTGGCACCTAAAAAACAAAAAGGAATAAAAGAATGCTAATACTGGTTGGCTTGTTGAAAACATTGGGAAATTGCTGTAGTTATTGCAAACCACTCCAGTATTCTTGCCTGGAGTAGTCCATGAACAGAGGAGCCTGGTGGGCTATAGTCCATGGGGTTGCAAAAGAGTCAGACATGACTGAGGTGACTTAGCACACAGCACATTAGAACTTAGACTGGAAAACAGCATTTCAGTGTATCAGGGTGATTTCTTCAGCACTACTTGGTAATTTGTTTCATAAGCACTTTCTCTTACCTGTAAAGATTTTGTTAAAAAAAAAAAATAGGGAAATGGCTATGATGTAAACTGAAAATTGCAGGGCAAGAGTATAGAACATTCATTTCTAGAATCATGAAAAGATATATTTGTGCTTGGATCAGAATCTAAAGGGATTCTGGGTGTATCTTTTAATTTTAGATTTATATTTGATCTTCTTTTGTTTTTTGGACTGTGTGCTTTTTTATAATACTAATGGTATGAGAAATAATTAGTCCAAAAATACCCACCTCCTTTGACCGTTTAGGAAAGACTGGACAGCCAGATAGCGGAGATCATGCTTCTGATCTGTCATGCTTCTGCGAGTTCATTTGGATTAGCATGAACAGACCACTCCTTAGGACCTAGATTCCCAGGAATATTCCTTATTGACAATAAAATATTTCAGGCTTCCGTGGTGGCTCAGTGGTGAATAATCGACCCGCTAATGCAGGAGATGTGGGTTCTGTCCCTGATCCAGGAAGATCCCACATGCTAAGGAGCAACTAAGCCTGTGTGCCACAACTATCGAGCCTATGCTCTAAAGCTGAGGAACTGCAGCTGTTGAGCCACACACCCTAGAACCTGTGCTCAGCAACAAGAGAAGCCACCACAATGAGAAACCCACACACCACAGCTAGAGAGTAGCCCCTACTGTCTGTAACTAGAGAAAAGCCCATGTAGCAATGAAGACCCAGCACAGACAAAAATAAAATCAGAACTTAAATGTGGAACTGGAAATTTATGCTGGAGAATTAAATGAGAATTCATGGGTAGTATGGAGAGCAAATGAGTTTTTTTTTTCCTTCTTCTTTTAAACCCATCTATCCAAAGCAGTATAAAAGAGCTCTGTTTTAAAGGGTTTTTTTTGTTTGTTTGTTTTCTTTTTTTCTCCTCATATAGTATTATCTTTTTACCCTCCGGGATATGTTCCCTAATTCGAGAATCCTCTGAGTGGGAAGATACTGCCCTGGCTAAGTGCTCACCACCTAAATTAAGTTCACAAGAATGCTTTTAGTGAGGTAATGATAGTAGTTTCTCTTTTTTTTTTTTTTTTGGATNCACAAATCTTTCTGGCCCTTGCCCCTAAATCATGAATTCTAATCCTATGGGTTATCATGGACCTGAAAACTCTGATCCTGGAGAGTTACTGAAAAATAAACAGAGTTGAACAGAGCACAGAATAGAGGTAAATTCCCCAAAGAAACACAAAGCTAAGATGACATCTGATAGGGAGTTGTTGTTTAGTGTCCAACTCTTTTGCAATTTCATGGACTGTAGCCCACCAGGCTCCTCTCTCCATGAGATTTTCCAGGCAAGAATACTGGAGTGGGTTGCCATTTCCTTCTCCAGGGGACCTTCCTGACCCAGGGATCAAACCTTGGTCTCCTGCATTGCAAGCAGAATCTTTGTCACTGAGCCCGCAAGGAAGCCCTGATAGGAGTTCCCCATAGTAAATTCTGTCCCCATGACATGACCCTAAGTGGAACTGTTTTTATGAGGATTAATCCAGAGATGCAGCACACCTGGCAGTGACTGAAGTTCTGGGGGACGGTTGATGGCTGGGAAACTGTCTCCCCACCCCAGGAGAATCTTCAGTCAGTCCACGATTGCATAGGTAGAGGAACAGAAGGGGTTCTCCATGCACTGCAGTTTTGGGGAGGACATAAAATAGTGAAAACTCTAATAATGGGATCTGGTTAGGCTTCTTTTTCTCCAAGTTATAGATAAAGCAAGTGGATGATTTTCGCTGGCCATGTTGAATCTTATTTTGAAGGCAAGGAAACAGGATTGTACAAACAGGTATAAAACCAATTGGGCTAAGAAAGCTCTGAAGATTCTAGTTTGGGAAGGGATTTATTGCAAAGTGATCTTTTTAGTAAATGTTTAAAATATTTCATTGGAAATATGAAGTGGACAAAACTGCCAAGAAATTTTGAAGTATTGCTTGTGTGTTTCTTGGCCAGGTTGAATATGTGGGTCATCTGTGTGCACTGAGTCATATTACATCAGTTCCTAGGTGGTAAGCTATGGTTGCCAAGTGTTTTGAAGTAAGATAGATCCAATAGATAAACAAAAATGTTCATTTCTCTTATTTGCTCATTTATTTCCCTTTGTAGAAAAGGCATTCTGAAAAAAGTAAAATGAAGAGACATTAAAGTGACAGCATACAAAAATTATGTAATTAAACTTCTGAACCTAAAATTTAGGGTTAAAAAAGGGAGTCAGTAACTTGATTTTAATGACACACATATGACACATTTAAAATGACATGCATCCCTTGCATAAAAATTTTTGTAAAATTCACAAAAATAAAATTATACTTTGTGACTTCCCTGGTGGTACAGTGCATAGGAATCAGCCTGCCAGTGCAGAAGATATGGATTTGATCCCTGGTCCAGGATGATTCCACATTCCTTGGAGCAACTAAGCCCATACAACACAGCTGCTAAAGCCTAAGCACTCTAGAGCATGTTCTTCACAATAAGAGAAGCTACAGCAATGGAGAAAACCATGCACCACAACTGGAGAGTTGCCTCCACACTCTGCAACTAGAGAAACCCCACAGCCCACACAGAAACAAAGACCTAGTGCAGCAACGACAAAAAAACAAAGATCATACTTGGACATAGAAATATGCATAGATATTTTACAGGCCAAATTTCTGTCATCACACTCCAGTGAAGTTAGAAATAGATGAAGAGTGACCAGATGTGTTTATGTATTTATTACTTTGGCCACAAAGCACAGCTTGTGGGATCTTAGTTCCCTAACTAGGGATTGAACCCCAGCCGCAGCAGTGAAAGTGCCAAGTGCTAACCACTAGACTGCCAGAGAATTCCCCAGAATGTTTTTAAATACGTGGATGTTAAGGGATACTCTCCTAGAACCAAATTTTTAAAACATTTTTGTTTTATTGAGATATAATGGCCACAGTTAGCTTCCATCAACTCATATAGATACTAAAGTATATATATATATATTTTATATATATATGTGGATTTTTTTCCTCTTGTGATGAAAACTGTTAGGATTTACTCTCAGCAACTTTCAAGTATACGATATAGCAGTGTTAGCTATCAGTTCAGTCGCTCAGTCATGACCGACTCTTTGTGACCCCATGAACCGCAGCATGCCAGGCCTCCCTGTCCATCACCAACTCCCGAAGTTTACCCAAACTCATGTCCATTGAGT